TGGCGACACACCGGGGACGCCTAGCTGGTTCCGATAGGGCCTGCGGCGGTTGGTCACGAGCTTGTCGGGGTCCGAGGCCCAACTCAGGTATGAACCACACTTTACATTTGCACCCCATACTTCATTTCAGATATCTTCATTTACAAATACTGATCATTCAAAATGCATTTGCAGGCATCCATCGAGTATATGGGAGGTTGTCACGCCCCTAACTCGCCCCTAAAAGTTTTGGGCATGACCTAATCAGAATTGAACACTTAACCTGATACATATATCCTGTGGGGCCTGAACGGAAGCGCTTGATATAAGAAAATAACATGAAAACATATCCATTGAGCCATTTCTATTATGCCAGGATCACGACTAGCAAATAGACATACAGGGAACAAGCATCAGAGAATAAGGTACATACATACGTATATATTTTTACAAGTCCAGCCTAGAAATTGGGCATCTAATAAAACATTAGATACAATTCAACCTTGACCGGCAATTAGAGTATAAGATAACAAAATTTAACAAAACTGTAGTAAGATGCAAAGGGCTTCTCCAAGTGCCGGGTTGTACTTAGGTGAACGAAAGATAGATGATATCGATGTTAGGACTGACCTCCAAGTTGGTTACCTAGAGAATCAGACAAAAATTACAGAGTGAGATAAGCTTAGTGAATAACAGTACTTAAACAGTTTAATACGCAATTTAAAACGTAATACATAAAAGTGCATTCATAAAAAAAATGGAATTCATATCGATAGTCTGATGCTGTATTATTTTCAAAACGGCCTTGGGCCCAGTTATAACAGAACGGCCTATTGGCCCAGAAATAACAGAACATTCTTTCGGCCCCGACAGCCTTTCGGCCCAGAAGTATACAGAATAGCCTTTCGGCCCAGAAATATACAGAACAGCCTTTCGGCCCAGAAATATACAGAACAACCTTTCGGCTCAGAAATATACAGAACAGCATTTCGGCCCAGAAAATATACAGATGTACATAATGCCATCGTTGTTTACATTCCCGGCAAATTCCAATCGATATACATGTTAACGTAAGAGTTTATGGAAACCAGAACGTTAATATCATTAAACATTTATAGTAATAAGCATACATTCATTGTACTGTTACTCACAGTGTTATTGCGAAGCGATGGTTCCTCCTGTGGTGTGTCCTACACACATACATAACATCCATTAGTTCATTTTTCCTTTTAAACCATTTCTTGGATCATTACATTTCAAATGAATTTACAACCATCAGAAAGGCATCAAACATAAATTCTAAAAATATCCGGGGGTTAAGCATATAAAACGGAGCGAACATTTTTTTCGGACTTAGGTCACACGTGGTGTCACCCCCTCCGCCCGAGCAGCCATGGACCGCACGTGCGGTGCCCCTCCTCTGCTCGAGCGGCCAAAAATAGTATGCTTCTCCATTTTTTTTCTCTTCTCCGCACGTGCGGCCACGACCTCCGCACGTGCGGCCTGGCTCCTGTTTGGCAGTCAGAATTTCATACAAAATCCCATGTTTGGTGATCATCAACAAGGTCCGAAATAGATCCTTCAAATACTGAAATATGGTTCAAAGATCATGTGAATAAGGGTACAAACACATAGCCACTTGAACATGGATTTGATCTTCTTCAATTACTCACCACCACAATCTATTTCTCTTGCATACACAACATACATATATGGCCATATATTTATACAAGTGGGTTCGAACATGGTAATTCAAGAAACAAGTTATAGGTTTCTCACTAGATGGCCCAAATTAGGTTAGAATAATCAAGTAGTAGCATTATCTTTACCAATAGATCAACACATAAATCCAACCCTCCATGACAACTCTAGGTTACACAATATTAAGAAATTCCTTCCCCAAAGGAAAAAGAAAGGATTGAATTAGGGGAATTAGCCTTACCTTAAGCTTCACTTCCTAGATGCCCCTTCAATTTTGATCTTGCTTCTCTATTTCTCTAACCCTTCTCTAATCCTTCTTCCAAGAGATATTTCTCATGGAGGCTTCTAAGTCAAAGTATTGAGATATATAGATAGATTTATATAAGGGGGTGAATAAGACAAAATTCAATCGTTTAATCCACCCAAATTGAAATTTCACAGAAAATCTCATTATGGCTTAAAAATCATGCAGGGTTCAAACGTCAAGTCAATTTCAGAAAATTAAGTGTCCAAGGCTTCCAATTTCTTATTCCAACTTCCTAATTGTGACAGATACTTCCTTAGTCAACAGATACGAATCAATTTTCATAAGTTTTGTTTAGTTAAACCTCATTTCACATGAAATTTCACAGAAAGCAATTAAAGGCACAAAATAAAGGACAAAAAATACACCGGAAACAGATATGAGGGTCAGGTTATTACACTCTTCCCCCCTAAAATAAGTTTGGTCACTCAAACTTGTATTACCTCCAGATCAGAATAAAGGCGGATATAGATGTTTCATCTTCTCTTCTTTTTCCCACGTTGCTTCGGTTACGTAATGTTCTTGCCATTCAACTTTTACCATTGGGGTCTCTCGATTTCGTAATTGTTTCACTTGACGGTCCAGAATTCGAATTGGTTTTTCCTCGTATATTAACTTATCATCCAAGATAATTTAATGGTAATCAATGACATGTGACAGATCTGGGAGATACCCTCAAAGCATAGACACATGGAATACATTATGCACTTGGCAAATACTTGGTGGAATGGCAACTCGGTAAGCTACTGGGCCCACTCTTTCTAAAATTTGGAAAGGACCAACATATCGGGGCGTTAAGTTACCCCTTTTTTCGAATTATGGAGGTCCTTTCATCGGGGTGACTTTCACAAACACATGACTATCCACTTCAAATTCCAAGTTCCTTCTTCGGTTATCCGCATAACTCTTCTGTCTATTTTGAGCATTTTTCAACCTTTCCCAAATAAGTTTAACCTTTTCAGTTGTTAACTGAACAATTTCAGGCCCTAACATTGGCCTATCTCCAACTTCGGCCCAACACACGGGAGAGCGACACGGTCTTCCATATTGAGCTTCGTAGGGTGCCATTTCAATACACGAATGGTAACTATTGTTATATGCAAACTCGACTAACGGCAGATGAGTTTCCCAACTTTCCTGAAAATTCAGAACACATATTCGAAGCATATCCTCTAACGTCTGAATCGTCCTCTCAGATTGTCCATCTATTTGAGGGTGGAAAGCTGTGCTAAACTTTAATTTTGTACCCATTGCATCCTGTAGACTTTGCCAGAACCTTGAAACAAATTTTGGATCTCTATCGGACACAATTGAGATCGGAACACCGTGAAGTCTTACAATTTCATTCACATAGATCACAGCAAGTTTATCTGCATTATACTGGGTCTTCACAGGCAGGAAGTGGGTGGACTTGGTCAACTGGTCAACAATGACCCATATGGAATTCATACCCCGAGGAGTTCGTGGCAAGCCTACAACAAAATCCATGGTAAGATGTTCCATTTCCATTCTGGAATTGGAAGGGGTTGTAGCAATCCTGCTAGTCTCTGATGCTCTGCCTTTACTTGCTGGTATCGTAAACATTTAGAGACAAACTCCGCAATCTCCTTTTTCATACTTGGCCACCAAAAATTTTGTTTCAAATTCTGGTACATTTTAGTACTTCCTGGATGTATTGAAAACCTTGAGGCATGTGATTCTTCCATCAATTTCTGTTTAAGTTCTAACATATTAGGGACACATATTCTGTTTTGAAATTTGAGTATAGAATCCCTCAAAGTAAATCCCTGTTTTGGTTTTGTCTCTATCTTGTTGCATATTATCTTTAGCATTCCATCTTCCATTTGACGTAGTTTGATCTCTTCAAGTAATGTCGGTTGGGCTCTCATCGCCGCCACTATGGCTTCCTGTTCATGCACCACAAGGGCTACTTTCATTTTATCCAATTCAACCATCATCTCCTTTTGTCCCGTAAATAGATTTCCCAACTGTCCCACATTCTTTCGACTCAACGCATCTGCCACCGTGTTGGCTTTACCAGGATGGTAATGGATCTGCAAATCATAGTCCTTAATAAGTTCTAACCACCGTCGCTGTGGCATATTCAGCTCCTTTTGTGTAAAAAGATACTTGAGGCTCTTATGGTCGGTGTACACCTCGCAAGTAGTGCCATAGAGATAATGTCACCATATTTTCAAGAAAAAACTACTGCAGCTAGTTCCAGGTCATGTGTGGGATAATTCTTCTCATGGGGTTTAAGCTGTCGAGAGGCATAAGTGATAACCCTTCCATTTTGCATAAGCACACAACCAAGTCCTTTATGTGAAGCATCACTGTAAATCACAAATCCCTCAACACCAGATGGTAGAGCCAGTACTGGAGCAGTAGTCAGTTTTGTCTTTAATTCCTGGAAAGCAGATTCCGACTGTTCTGACCATTCAAACGCAACTCCCTTTTAAGTCAATTGTGTAAGCGGTACAACAATTTTGGAGAAGTCTTGGACGAACCTCCTGCAATATCCGGCTAACCCCATAAAACTACGCACCTCAGTTACATTAGTAGAAGTTGGCCAGTTTACGATCGCTTCAATTTTATGTGGATCAATAGAAACTCCATCCTTTCTAATAACGTGCCCTAGAAAGGTCACCTCACGTTGCCAGAATTCACATTTCTTTAGCTTTGCATACAACTTCTTTTCTCGAAGGGTCTGAAGAATTAAGCGAAGAAGATTCTCATTAGCCTCTATATTCTTCGAATAAATAAGGATATCATCAATAAAGAGTACCACAAACTCATCCAGATAAGGCTTAAAGACACGGTTCATCAGATCTATAAATGCTGCTGGTGTGTTAGTAACTCTGAAGGGCATAACCAGAAATTCATAATGGTCGTATCGGGTTCGGAAAGCTATCTTCTCAACATCATCAGCTTTAACTTTCAATTGGTGGTATCCTGACCGTAAATCAATTTTGAAAAATACATGTGCTCCTTACAATTGGTCAAATAAATCGTCGATCTACGGTAATGGGTACTTATTCTTGATTGTTACTTTATTAAGCTTCCGGTAGTCTATACATAATCGGAGTGTTCCATCTTTCTTTTTCACAAACAGAACTGGTGCACCCCACGGAGAAACACTTGGGCGAATGAACCCCTTATCAAGTAAATCTTGCAACTGAACCTTTAATTCCTTCATTTCAACTGGTGCCATTCTGTACGGAGTCATAGAAATGGGTTGAGTTCCCGGCGCTACTTCAATTATAAATTCAATTTCACGGTCCACTAACTCCCCCGGTAATTCTTCTGGAAAAACATCCAGAAATTCACGAACGAATGGAATCATGTCAATACTCTCCTTCATTATTGGCTCTTCCAAAACACTGCATAAGTACCCCTGACATCCCCTCTGAATCAATTTACGAGCCTTTGCTGTTGAAATCAAGTAGGGTGGAGAAGTCAATTCCTGTCCCTGAAAAATAGATTCTGATTGTCCCGGAGGGTGAAAACTCATTTGTTTAGCCACACAATCATTAGTTGTACCATACTCGCTCAGCCAATCCATTCCCAGAATAATATCAAAATAAGTCATATCAAGAGGTAACAGATTGGCATATACCCGAACATCCCCAATTAGGAGTTCACAAGCAAAATATACAGAAGTACCGATCATAGAATCCCCCAAGGGTGAGGATACACACAGCACATAGGATAATACCGCTTCAGATCTATCCAAGTGTTGTGCAAATAGTTTTGACACAAAGGAATGGGTAGAGCTAGAGTCAAACAATACATGAGCAGAATGACCATGAACAATAAAAGTACCTGTCACAACTGTCGCTGCATTCTGTACATCTCCTGGAACCAATGCAAACACTCTACCTTGTCACGCAGTGTCCTTGTTGTTAGCAGGTTTGACGGCTGACTTGGTGCTAGAAGTTGGTGCAGACCCAACTGAACTTGTGACAGTTTTGTTGTTATTCAACTCGGTCCTTTGAGGACAATCTCTTACCAGATGACCCGTTTTACCACATCGAAAACATGCTCCAGATAATCGGTGACAAATCCCTCAGTGTCTCCTTCCACACTCTGGACACTCAGGGGTTGAACCTTGAGTGGAAGTGGTAGTGCTGGAGGTCCCTAAATTTTGCTTCTTGTTTGGTGGAGCAGTTGACCCCCTTGATAATTGATTATTCTGCTTTTTCCCTTTCCACTCAGAAATCTGATTCTGAGCAGCAAGATTCCCCTCTGCTATAATAGCCCTCTCCAACACATCAACATAAGTAGGCAGCTTCAACACATTAACTCGGTCCAGAATAGCACCCCGCAATCCCCCTTCGAATTTCTGCGCTTTCTTATAATCGGTATCCACCATATGAGGTGTGAACCGGGCTAGTTCTGCAAATTGAGCTTCATACTCGGCAACAGTCTTATTTCCTTGTCTAAGTGTTTCAAATTCGGTTACCTTCTTGTGTCACATACTTTGGGGAAAATATTTGTCATAAAACAACTCCAAGAATCTATCCCATGTCAACCCCCGGTGCACTGTCCTTCTAAGCGTCCACCATCTCCACGCCTCGTCTTCAAGAGTGAAAGCAACAAGTTGCACCTTTTGAACTTCAGTACAAGGAAAGACTTCGAATAATTTTTCTATCCCTAGCACCCATGCCTCAACCTTCATTGGTTCGATTCGTCCTTTAAACGATGGTGGTTTCATCATTTTAAACTCCTTTGTAAGTGTAATGGTTCGGTCCTCAACACGAAAATCATGCATTACAGGTGGGGGTACTGGTGCTGGTGGTGGCAGTGGTTGTTGTTGCTGTTGTTGTTGCCGTAGAGTCTCCGCCATTTCCATAATCATCATTTCCATCCGGTCCAACCGTGTCGAGGTAGCATCTTCCTGATCTTCGGTCCTTGTTCTCACCATGTTCTACAAGACAATCAATTACAACATACACAATAGAATACAATAGGCATTGATCATCATCACTAGCGTTAGCAGAAAACATTTAACGTTGCTATCGATCTTTTATATATCTTCAAAACGTTATGCATAATGCCTAAATATTTCTAGACATCCTAAGGCATAATGAACCCGTGTGTGAGATAGCAACTTGTGCTCTGATACCACTTGTCACGCCTCTAACTTGCCCCTAAAAGTTTTGGGCATGACCTAATCAGAATTGAACACTTAACCTGATACATATATCCTGTGGGGCCTGAACAGAAGCGCTTGATATAAGAAAATAACATGAAAACATATCCATTGAGCCATTTCTAACATGCCAGGATCACGACTTGCAAATAAACATACAGGGAACAAGCATCAGAGAATAAGGTACATACATACGTATATATATATATATATTTACAAGTCCAGCCCATAAATTGGGCATATAATAAAACATTAGATACAATTCAACCTTGACCGGCAATTAGAGTATAAGATAACAAAATTTAACAAAACTGTAGTAAGATGCAAAGGGCTTCTCCAAGTGCCGGGTTGTACTTAGGTGAACGAAAGATAGATGATATCGATGTTAGGGTCGAGAGCCATACTCCCTTGAGTTCATAGTATGATAGGGAGGGTGGTCGTGCACACATTGTCTTGTAAACACCCTGCCATGCACTGTCTATCCTCTGCTGCAACAAAAACAACATTCTGCAAGAAGGGATGGCCGATCGGCCATCTTCAGTGCCGGTCGGCTAACTTCACCTGGCCGAGAGCTCCACTTTTGGTCAATGATCATCTTCCCATGGCCGGTGACTTCATCTATTGGCCGGTGACCTCCCACAGTGCTCAGGGAGTGCTTCAGAAGCATCTTAAGGATTTTCACCATTTTCAGAGATGCAAAACAGTGCAAACAGAGGCAACATGTGGCATGGCAACGGGTTTCCGTGCGAGGCAATCGAGCATGCATCATTCAATCATCCTGAGGCGGAGCTGTGGCGGCCTCTTTAGTTTCATACTCAGATTGTTTTGTAATTAATTTGTTAATTAATTAAGAGTTTGTAATAATTAATTAGCTAGGATAGTTGATTTATTATTTGGGTTTGTATTATTTATTCGGACCCTCCGTCGAGAGGACGACTTTTAATAAGTATGCGTGCGTGTGTGAATGTCTTCCAACCCCACGTCTTTCTCCCTTTTACTTACCTGCTTTTGATGGTTAGTTTTAGGTCATGTTTCAATTAGCATACTTATGTTAGCATGTTTGCATACATTCATTCATATTGCACGCACCGGGCTCGGCGCATCATACTAATTGCATAGTATTTCAATTCCAACTTGAATACATGTATCGAGTTGTCGCATTTCACATGCCATTCTCAGATTAGCCGGGCCTATTCTAGTTGCATTTTGCATGCATTACATTAGCCATGTTAACATGAACTAGGATCATACATGATTTCCAACTAGTTTCTTGTTTTGACTCGGAGTACTAGGTAAGCTTTTATGCTTTAGTATCTTGCATGAGTGTGAGTGTTACCATGATAGCATGCTTGCCATGAGGCTAACTGCTTATGTGATATAACTGCTTGAATGCCTGTGGGTGAAGGTTAGATTACTTGAATTGGAACAAATCATCAAAATGCGAGTTTTAAGCCCACTTGAGAGTGGCAAAATCATGTTTTCTTAAGCCCACTCGAGGGTGGCAAAATCCACGTCTTAGCCTACTTGCGAGTAGCACCATCAAACCATTTTCAAATAAACAAAACATGAAATGTCTTGTTTCAATTTAGGCGATCCGGTCTATATTTGTGTGTTGTGCACATCACATAGTAATTTTAGGGTAATAATCGGAATAAGAACACATATGTTTTCAAAACAAAATATCATGCGTAGTACAGGCCAATCTTTGATCGGGCGAGCGGAGGTGCTCATAGATGACCTTCCCCAATCGTACCCAAGTTCTCGAGCCGAGGCAATTTTGGTGATGACGAACATGCGGCCTTAGGCAACGAGTCAGGGTTTCCTAAATTCCCCCAAAATAAATATTTAGGTGGCGACTTTGTATCTGGAAAAACAGTCCATGTTTGGCACTTCTTTCTTAAAAATTAGTTTTTCAAAACGATTTGCCGGATTTGGACTCTTTGGTGATTTATCGGTCTCGCATTGCACTTTGCGGGATTAGATTTAGAGCCGTGACATATGAGTCCGAACTGTAGCATGTGGCCCTCGGGACGCGTCTACAGTGAGGCACACAAAACAAGTACAGACTAGCCACAAGACTTGGAACAAATTCAACTCACGTTTGTTTTTCAAAAATGGTTTGAATTTGCCACCCTCAAGTGGGCTTAGAAATGTGGATTTGCCACCTCAAGTGGGCTTAAAACTCAAATTCGTTGAATCATTCCAATTCAAACAGCAAAGCCTTCATCCACAGTCATTCATGTAGTTAATCATATAAGCACATAATCTCATGGCAAACATGCGAAACATGGTAACATTTACACTCATGCAAGTATGCTAAAGCGTAAAAGCTTGCTGAGTACTCCAAGCCAAAACAAAAACTAGTTAGAAAAAAATGCATCCTTCCTAATTATGTAAGATGCCTAATGCAACACATGCAAAATGAAATTAATAAGCTCGGCTACTAATATGGCATATGAATCGATTTGATAACATGCTTTGAAAGACGTATTCAAATAAGTATTGAATCTGCAATGTAGTTTGAATGATACGCCGAGCCTCGGTGCATGCAAGACAAATGAATGGATGCAAACATGCAAGCATAAGGTATACTAATTGAAAATGATCCCTAATCTAACCATCAAAAGTGGGTAAATAAAAGAAAGAAAGACGTGGGATTGGAAGATATGCACACAGATACACACACACACACTTATTACAACATTATGCCCTCGCGAAGGAGGGTTCGAATGAATAAGATGTAAGCTAATCTAATCTAAGCTAACTAATCTAATTATGTTAATTAGACTAATTATTACAAACCAAACGAATAACTTGCAAACTAATTACTAATTATTACAACACTTAACTAATTAGCAAACTAATTATTTAAACTACACTGCCTCGGCCCTGCTTTGGGAAGTAGAGGATGCATGCGCTCGGTTTTCGCCCCAAAAAGCCCTCCGATTTTGCTCTTGAGAGGCTCTGTTTGCAGGGTTGACCATACTCCAGGATCTTTCTGCCTCACATTACCAAAAACTTGCTGAGGATTGCACCAATGGCCTGCGGGCCATGATTGGTTACTGCTGGCCCCCTGCCGGCCAAAGATGTGCCTTGCTGGCCAAGAATGAGGCACTACTGGCCATCAGTGAGCCACTACTAGCCACTAGTGTTCTGGATCACGACACTGCAACATAGCACAAACAGAGGAAAATGAAGGGTTTTCTAGGGGTATGTTTGTACTGTCCCCATCCTTATCATCTCAAAACCTCAAAGGAAAGGCACACTTGGATCCAAAACCACCAGTCAAGCATTTTCAATGCATGATGGCCAAGGAACCAAGGAGTACAATCTCAGTTTATGCAAAAACAAGACTTATGACCATCACCTTATCATGTGTGATCAAAGGCAATGGAGACCAAGGAGATTGGCTCATTTCATCACTTTGAGTATGAAATGCTCCAATCTTCCTTGTGTTCAATATAACGTCCGATTCAACAGATGCAATGCAACACAAAATGCTTAACTTGCTCAAATATTACTTGTCCATTTTGTGTACTCATTTTAGATTACCAATCCATTCTGTAATTGATTAGTCCAAAAGGTGAGTGTCCTCTAATGGAAAGAGGAGTTAAACCACAAGTACCTTGAGCATGAAAGAGGCCTCATGCTGTTGGTAATGAACTCGCAAAGGAATTAACCCATTAGGCATGAGGGCCTTAATTCCACACTCAAGCCAACAAGGGGTTCAAAGCCACTTTCAAAACAAACGCAAGAGTGGAGAATAGAGGGAGGGTGCAGATATTTCAGTGCAGAAATGGAGTGCAAAAAGACACTAAGACATGTAAGCAACTCATGCAAGTCATGTTTAAAAGCTTAAAACATCAAACTAGTGAGGCCATTACACTACAACCACACAATACAAGCCTCAAATGACCAAACCAGCTCAAAACAAATTTAAAACCAATCAAAACAGTGGTAAAACATGTTGAGATTAAGCTACGAAATACTAGAAAAACATGCTCACATGTTAGCTTACGAACAAAACTCAAGAGCAACTCTAAAAAACAATGAAAGAGTGAAACAAATAAGCATGTCACAAAGCCATGAATACCGAAATTACATGTAAAAAGACACTTCAACATGCAACCAACTCAAGTAAATCAAGTTTGAAGGCCTATAACACCAAATTCGTGAAGATCACTACACTATAGGCATGCAATACAAAGTTCAAAATGCACAAACACCTCAAAACAGTCCTAAAATAGCCTAAAAGGAGTCCTAAAACATGCTTGAAGTAAGTTAAAAATAGCTAGAATAAAAGGCCAAAACATAGCATAAGCTAAGCCATTAAGCACAATTGCACTACAAGCAAACAAAGCAAGCCTCAAGTGCTCCAAGTAGCCCAAAACAGAGCTGAAACATGCCAAAATAAAGCCTAAAACATGCTTGAATTACGCTAGGTTAAGCTAGAAAATCAAGCTAACATGTGAAGTAACCTAGGCATGGAAACAAGATACAAGAAGTGGAGGCTACCCCCTCTCATTTTGGACCTCAAAACATGATTTTTACCACTGAAAATCCCCTGGAATTCAGTGGTTAGAAGGGCCAAAAAGAGTTGTTTTAAAAGCTTTGAAAGATGGTACAACACCTTAATAATCAAGCAACAAGAAGGGTAGACTACCCCTAACTCCAAACAAACCTCAAACCACCATTTTAGACCATAAAAACAAAGATTTTCAGAGGTCAAAACCAGCCTCAAAATAGTATGTAAAGATGGAAAAACAAGTATT